GATTTCATCAAAAATTGAATTCTTGGGGTTCTTTGATATGCTGAATCTAACCATGTATTTAGATTTTGGATATTGGACCATAATAGGTGAATGTCCAATTTAAAATTTTTAAGTTCTTAGACCACATTCAATCTGTGTTAGAAACCTATGCTGTGTCAAATATTTAATCACAATCCAAATCCAAAGCTGTATCAAGCTTGAATGTTGTGTCCATACTTCCCCCAACTGTTCAGGGTTCGACCTTCTGTGGTCGTATCAAGCTGCGCCCTGCGGAGCATTTTATTAATTATTTTTATTGCGTGATCACGCAAATACGCAGCTTATCTGGAGCTCTGTCATACAAATAAACTTTGTGTGAAACATTGTATAGTTATTCTGTCTTATATTCTTGTCGGTTTTCAATTTGTGTCTATGTCCTAGATAATCAATTTTTGATTGATATAACAATAAGATAAGCTATGATTGCCAATGAGACAAATCTCTATCCAAGACCAAATGTCATTGATGTAAGCAATTATAGGTCACCATATTGCCTTCAACATGGAGCATGATTCTTCATGTCTTTTTTCCCCCACATTAATAATATCATTTCCTAAATTATCTTCTGATGTTACATTACACTCCCTGTATGAAAAACTAACTTGTAAAGTTGACGAAGTTCAGCCCAAATTGACATCTTTCCTGAATCTTTTTAAAATGTAAAAATGAAGCATAAATGAATGACAGATGCTTAGTTAATATATAGTAATGAAATTTAATTAAGGTGAGCTTTAGGCAAGTTGCTGCAAAATTTCAATCTTCAGTTCATGTTTGCTTTCCTTTTTCTTCTGCAGATTGAAATTCACAGGTTCAGAATTCCTGTCTTTCATAGCAAATCTTGAAAAATATGAAGAAATTTGTTGTCCAGTCAAATATTCATTCTGTTTGAACAGGTACTGATCTCCTTCCTTCATATTTCTCATTTCCTCTGCAGCTCTGAAAGGATCTATTTTACTGCCAGTTCTTTTTCCTGCATAGAACCTGAGGTGCATATATTTCCTCTGAGCCTCACTGAAAATCACTTTTTTTTCTTGGGTTTCAGTGCCCATCCCTGACACAGGCCTGACTTTCTCTTTCTGTTGAGTCTGATGGTATCGACACTGACTGGGTGTTAATAAAAAGGATATCTACTTTTGTGCCATACATAATCTTAGCCTTGTCATGAACAAATATGACTTGTTCATAGTTGCAGTCTCCCAACAGAAGGTAGTTTTCAAAAGTCTCATTTGAGCAGAATGATTTTACACAGCCGTCTTTTGGGCAGTCAACTTCCTTCCTTTTGGTTTTAAGTGAGTTTCTTCATCTTTAAAAGAAATGCATCAAATTATCAAAATAGGTCAGGCTCCTTTTTTAGACTGTAACAAGTTAAAAAGAAAATAAGTTGACCCAAAGCTTTTAATTCATCTATCATAATGAACTAGAAATTAATGATATCACTGACACTACCAAAATTGAAGACAAAATTGAAGATTTCAATTTCCCAGTACTTATTAGTAATAAACCAACATCTCTTGATTTGGTTTTATATTTCACAGTTAATGCACTATTCAAGGACCTTTGTCTAATACAGTGATTTTCTTGCCAGAGCCAAATTACTGCCTCAAAAACTATTCAGTCAGGGTTACATTCAGAGTGGGTTGATATCATCACTGTAGTTTTATGGCAGACATCACAATTACTTTGGTTGACCATTATACAGTTGGTATCTCTATGATGACTTATTTCACTTATACATATGTCCTATGTTCACTAAAGATTCACCTTATTAATGGCATTGACTACAAGGCAAAATAACGAGTGTCACATGCTGAGCAAGAAATGCTTACCTTTCCAGGAGCATTGTCATTGCTGTTTTTATGTTTATATTGTCAAAGCTTTAGTTTTCATTGTTGTCTGTTGTGTATATGTGTGCATGTCTTTGTGTAATCTGTGTGCTTGTCTTTGTCCTTTTCATTCGGTTGTCTCAGTCTTGAACTTTTTGAAAACTCATTACAAAGTTGCTTAAGGAATCTTTGTCTCTAGTAGGAAAAGAACATTCATGATAACACAATGAGTCATTTCTGCACTGACATAATATCTTTCCTCTTTGCCTTAGTCCTTAGCTCAACTGACACTAAGGGTCATGTGAGCTTTTTCTTATAGGCATCTTGTTGTTTATAATGTAGGTAAATGCCCTGACATTTGAATTTTAATCATGACATCTATGACTTAAGCTAGTGACATTCAGTATAATAATCACAATATTAGGGCAATGTTGTCATCCAGTAATGTATAAAAAATATTTTCATTTTCTGAATTAATACTTCCCTCACATACTGCCAGCTGACTACAACATAATTATATAGTGTTCCTTACCTTCAGTATTCAAGGATCTGCTGACTGTATCCTCATTTGTCCAGTGCATTTTCACAACAAGTTCGGTCGCCTTGGGTGAAGAACCAAGTGATTTCCATGGAATAAATTGTCCTAAAATGAAATGAAATCTTCATTTTTTGTCGAGTCTGCGACTTTTGTCGCAGAAAGCTCGACATAGGGATAGTGATCCGGCAGCCGCGGCTTTAACTAACTTCTTAAAAGCTTAATATTTCAGGAGGTAGAAGACCTGGATGCTTCATACTTTGTAAATAGATGCCTTATGATATGAATTTTCCCTCTGTCATATGTCCATTGTCCTTGACCTCATTTTCATGGTTCAGTGACTACTTGAAAAATAAGTTAAGATTTTTTGAAATGTTAATTTCTCTCTTATTATGAGTAATATGATAACTATGTTTGGTATGTGCGTACCTTGCAAGGTCCTCAAGCCTGTCAGACAGTTTTCACTTGACCTTGACCTCATTTTATGGATCAGTGAACAAGGTTAAGTTTTCGTGGTCAAGTCTATATCTCAGATACTATTAGCAAAAGGTCTACTGTATTTGGTGTATGTAATGATTGTGAGTTGTACATGTCCAACTGGCAGGTGTCATCTGACCTTGACCTCATTTTCATGGTTCAGTGTGGTTAAAGTTAAGTTTTTGTGTTTTGGTCTGTATTTCTATCACTGTATGCAATAGGTAACTATATTTGGTATATGGAAATATTTTACGATGTACATGTCAGTCTGGCAGGTTTTATTTGACCTTGACCTCATTTTCATGGTTCAGTGGTAAAAGTTAAGTTTTTGTGTTTTGGTCTGTATTTCTAATACTGTATGAAATTAACCTCAATTTCACGGTTCATTGCTCAATGTTAAGTTTTTGTATATAAATCAAAAGTTTTCAGAGTGTAATTGCCATTATTACTCCTTGATTTTGGTCTGTTTTTCTAATACTGTATGCAATAGGTCAAGCATATTTGGTGTATGGAAATATTTTACAATGTACATGTCAGTCTGGCAGGTTTTATTTGACCTTGACTCATTTTCATGGTTCATTGCTTATTGTTAAGTTTTTGTGTTTTGGTCTGTTTTTCTTAAACTTTAAGCAATAGGTCAACTATATTTGGTGTATGGAATGATTTTAAGCTGTATATGTCTGTCTGGCAGGTATCATCTGACCTTCAATACAATTTCATGGTTCATTGGTCAATGTTCAGTTTTCCTGGTTTAAGCTTTGTTTCTTAGATACTATAAGCAATAGGTCAAATATATTTGATGCATGGAATGATTTTAAGATGTACATGTTTGTCTGGCAGGGTTCATCTGACCTTGACCTGATTTTTATGGTTCATTGGTCAATATACAATTTCCATCGTTTGGTCTGTTTCTTTTATACTATAAGCAATAAGTCATCTAAATTCGGTGTATGGAATGATTGTATTAAAGGCCGCTGTACATGTATTTCCGGCTTGGTTTATCTGACCTTGACCTCATTTTCTTGGATCATAAATGTTAATGTGATACTTGTAAAACTTTATATTTATGACTATCAACATAAAATCAATGGTCAGTATAGAGGGCGAGACATTTCAGTGTGTGCACTCTTGTTCTACAAATAGAAGCTAAATATACATTTACCCTTGGATATGAATATAGGGTAAACGGACAGAAAGTCACAGGACATAAAGTCACAAATGTGATAGGACAAAAAGTCACAGGACAATAAGTCACAAATAATTTGTAGACAATTTTTTTATACGACCGCAAAAAAATTTTGTGGTCGTATATTGGTATGACGTTGGCGTCATCGTCGTCGTCGTCCCAAGACACATTAGTTTTCGCACTCTAACTTTAGTTTAAGTGAATGGATCTCAATGAAATTTTACCATAAGGTTCAATACCACAAAAGGAAGGTTGGGATTGATTTTGGGGGTTATGGTACCCACAGTTAAGGAATAAGGGGCCAAAAAGGGGCCAAAAATAAGCATTTTTGTAACTTCCAGACATCACTTTTGTGTAAGTGTATGGATCTCTCTGACATTGTACCACAAGGTTCCATATCACAAAGGGAATGCTGGGATTGATTTTGGGGGTAATTGCCTCCAAATTTTAGGAATTAGGGGCCAAAAAGGGGCAAAAAACAAGCATTTTTCTAGTTTCATGACAATAACCTGTGTGTAAGTGTATGGATCTTTATGAAATTGTACTACAAGGTTCCATATCACAAAGGGAAAGCTGGAATTGAGTTTGGGGGTAATTGCCCAAAAAGTTTAGGAATAAGGGGCCAAAAATAAGCATTTTTTCTAGTTTCCAGACAATAACTTGTGTTCAAATGTATGGATCTCTCTGAAATTGTACTGCAATGTACCATACCACAAAGGGAAAGCTGGGTTTGAGTTTGGGGGCAATTGCCCTAAACGTTTAGGAATTTGGGGCCAAAAAGGGGCCAAAAAACAAGCATTTTTCTAGTTTCCAGACAATAACTTGTGTTCAAGTGTATGGATCTCTCTGAAATTGTACTGCAAAGTACCATACCACAAAGGGAAAGCTGGGATTGAGTTTGGGGGTGATGAATCATAAGGGAGTTCCAAAAATTGGGGGGGGGGGATTTTTTTTCCTTTTTTTCTTTAAAATTTTCCATTTTAAATTGGTTATTTCTGATTTATATATAAAAGCAAATAATAATGATATGGTTTGAATAGGTAAATTAAAAAATTTTAAGTTCTTAGACCACTTTCATTCTGTGTGAGAAACCTTTGCTGTGTCAAATATTTAATTACAATCCAAATTCAGTGCTGTATCAAGCTTGAATGTTGTGTCCATACTTGCCCCAACCGTTCAGGGTTCGACCTCTGCGTTCGTATCAAGCTGCGCCCCAGCGGAGCATTTTATTAATATATAAAAAGTAAAATCACAAAAATACTGAACTCCGAGGAAAATTCAATCGGAAAGTTCCTAATCACATGGCAAAATCAAATGACAAAACACATCAAACGAATGGACAACAACTGTCATATTCCTGACTTGGTACAGGCATTTTCAAATGTAGAAAATGGTGGATTGAACCTGGTTTTATAGCGCTAAACCTCTCACTTGTATGACAGTCGCATCAACCTTAATAATATTGATAATGATGCGTGAACAAAACAAACAGACACAATAGGTAAAAATGTCACAAATAAAGGTAAGAAGTCTAATTCGGTAGGTCACATTCGGGAAAAGGGAACGGGATTGCAGTTACGACATAAGGAACATATCTAATATCATCTATCTAACAGATATTCCATAACGGTCAACCAACTCGTTATAAGAGAAAGATCTTGAAATAGTTTCTTTTTATTACATATATTCATTTTTAAGTTAAGGAAATTGTTCGTAAGCCTTGATAAATGAAAATTTACTAAATCTTATTTAATTTTAATCAAGTAAAGGATATAATTCTCGGCACAATGAAGCCATTTAATTACCTAGCCACTTTGGCATCTTGTTTTCATAACAATTATTTGATCATTATTAATATTATTGAATAAATTTTAATAATAACAAAGTTGCTTTATCTATAATAGTTCAAGAAAAAAACAAAAGAAATATTTTTAAAATTAGTGTTTTCTTCAAAGAAAAATAATCTCAAAACTGAATTGTGACTTTTTGTCCTGTGACTTTTTGTCTGTGACTTTTTGTCCTGTGACTTTCTGTCCTACATTCGAATATAGCACCTAACAAAGTCATTAAGTCATTCATGCATAAAATATAGGTCACACTTACAATTTTCATTGCAGAAATTTTTTTTTGAGTCATAAACATATTGGGTGTTTTAAAGCACCATTCCTTTTTTATTTGTGTTTCTTAATAAAATATTTTGGAAACTTGAGGTTACATGGTTACTGAAGCTTGTAAACAGGAAAAAAGGGGTGAAAATTTGATTGGTTAAATTCCAGTGATGGTTATTATCTTATATGCAATGAAATGTTATGTGAAATTTTGTCTGTAGTACTGGACAGGATAAAACTTTACTCATACCAAGAATTTCTTTATTTGAAACAAAGATCAATTCTGCACAATTTTTTGAAAAATCTCAATTTAACAAAGACTAATCATGATAATAGGGGAAAAACAATGGTGGTATTACTCTTGTAAAGGACCAATGAAGTCTTTTTTAATTTTAATGTTATTAATTTCTTTTTTCATGCTAAAAATGATCGGATACCAAGATGAAAGGAAATATTAACAAAATCATGATATATACACACCATTTTTATTTCTTCAGCTGAAGTGACATCATGACCTTCATTTATGTATCCCTTCACAACTGACTTTATATGGGAGACTCTGCACAGAAACCTGCAAACAGTTACATCTTTTCAACTCTTAATTAAGATATATATTTGGGTCATGTCAATGGGCTATGATAATTCTGTTTGATATAAGATAAACAAAAACAAAAAGTATCGAAAGTAATTATTTGCTACCACATTTGTTCAGAATTTTTATAAATAATAGGGGAAAATATTATGGGAAATAATGTTCTATCTCATCAATATAGTTTTAATTTGAAAATGACTTAATTTTATCTGCAAAGTTTCAATTGTTAGCTTTCAATTTACTTGTACAACTTAAAAAAAAATAATGGTCAATATCAACCTGGGCACAATGTTTTTTTTTTTTGGTTTCATTTAAAAAACCAAAGACACTGATAATGTTAGTTTTTGAATATATTTGTTATAAAATGAATATGACTTACTCCAAGTCAAAGGCAGATTGAATGATTTTTCAATAAAAAAATGTTTCGAAATGATGTTAATCAAATATATTGGAGTAAGTGCATCTTTTGTCAAGTATATGTCATAAATACTAAAGGTTATACCTTTGCCATCCTAGGCTTCTGAAAAGATGTACGATTTGAGTTTATCGACAAGATCTCTTCTGAGTGAAGCCATCATTAAAGTGTTTTTATAGCAGCCTGCATTGTCTGAATATATGTGGATTTCTTTAACATCTGGTATCAAGTTATAAAGATCAGAAACAATATCCTTGATCAAAGATGATGTTAGGTGCATCTTGAGATATCTGAATAATGGAAAGTTGAGTGAATAAGACAAGTGTGTACAAGACACTGTTGAACAAGTAGTTCTAAACATCAATTTAAAACATAAATAATGTGCAAAATATTTTATTTTTCAACTTTTTGCTAGTTTTCTTTGCAACACAGGTGCACACTGTCAGGTCACCAACTGGCAAATAAGCCTGAAAGTAGTTGATATTCATTCTATTTCAATTTCTTGGTTGATTAAATTTCAAATTCTTAACTAAGCTATGTGAAGTTCTTGACCAATTTATACAGTTTTCCTGCCAAGTATTCCTACAAATTTCTCTGTGACTGTCTGTTTGTCTGTAGCGCACAGCTTTTTTTTTTTAACAAAATGTCCTGTAATTGACTACAGAGTTTGTATAAATATTTTGTCTGTTATTTCGAAATTTGTTGATAGCCCTGCCATCTGTGAATAAAAAGACATTTTTGTTTCAATGCTTTTATTAAACGACAGCAAAAAAATTTTGCGGTCATATATAGGTATGACGTTGGCGTTGTCGGCATCCGAAGACACATTGGTTTTCGCACAATAACTTTAGTTTAAGTGAATGGATCTCTATGAAATCTTACCATAAAAGGAAGGTTTGGATTGATTTTGGGGGTTATGCTACCAACAGTTAAGGAATTAGGAGCCAAAAAGGGGCCAAAAATAAGCATTTTTCTGGTTTCCAGACAATAACTTGTGGAACGGTGTATGGATCTCTCTGAAATTATACCACAAGTTTCCATACATCATTTGAATTACCTCCCTTACACTGCTTTTAAATTATGTATAAAGTAATGGTTAATGAACAATTAAGACAATTTAAAAGCAGTGTAAGGGAGGTAATCCAAATACAACGTTTTGATTACCTCCCTTACACTGCTTTTAAATTATGTTTAAAGAAATGCATATTTATAAAGGAAGACCAATAAAAATAACTGCAAATGTTGCATCTTTTTTTTTTTTACAAAAAAATCCATATGAAAGATTTGACACTATATTTTAAATTCTATTATAAAATAGATTAAGTTAGCACTATGGTAAATTTAAATGGGTAATTATGGTTGCAAACTCCATTGGAAATTTGAAATGAAATTATGACCATATCTTGAGGGAAAGAATTTTTTTGGAGGGAAAAGGGGGGGGGGGGGGGTCAATTTTTTCTAATTTCAGATTTCAGAAATTAAAAAGAAAAATTCTTCAAAATTATTTTTTTCGCAAAAAAAAAGTGTGTGTGTGGGGGGAAAGGGGGAGGGGGGGGGGGGGGGGGTTTAATACGCAACAGCATGTGTATTGCACAAAAGCAAAAAAAAAAAAGGGGGGGATTTTTTATTTTTTATTTGTGGGAGGAGGGGGGGGGGGGGTCAATTCGCAACAGCAAAGTGTATTACACAAAAGCAAAAAATTGAATATAAATTCAAATCATATAACCAATTCTAAGTTCTTTGACTACAGTTATTCTGTGTCTGAAACCTTTTATGTGTCAAATGTTTAATTACAATCCAAATTCAGACCTGTATCAAGCGCGAATATTGCGTCCATTTTTGCCCCAACTGTTCAGGGTTGGACCTCTGCGGTCGTATCCAGCTGCGCTCGGCGAAGCAATTTATTTGTTCTTATTTTACTGTATGTATGTTAGTGTTGTTTCATGCACATTTACTTCATATCCTTTTTTGTATACATTGATAACATGTTCTTTACACAATATTCTACAAGTTACATGTATAATGATAAATTATATGGGCTTTAAAAGTCCATTCTGTAATGCTGTCAACAGCTGACTCAACCTATTAGAAAAATAAATAAGAAGTAGTTTAAACATCATATTAAAAAATTCAAAGGATAGGCAAATAAGACAGACCCCAAATAAAATAGTTTAAATGCAGACAGCGAAGAGAATGAACTGATATTCAAAAAGAAATATTCACATACCTTTTGCTCAACATGGAAGAGGAGTAACAGAAGACTTTGTTTGTACAAATAAAGCAGAAATTTATTTGTGAACATGTTATTTGTAAAATGGTTGGCTGATTGCAGGATACAAATAAATAATGGTACAATCAAGTTATAATTGTTTTACAATAAATACAACATGTATTGTACCTGAAAAAGTACTCATCTTTGTTCTCCCAGTTGACATTCTGAACAATTGTGGAACTTTCATTTAAGATTTCATCAAGATTTGTGCATTGCAGACAGATTTCTGTATGACTGTGACAACACAGTACTCCACCATTACTCAATGAAAAAAGTCTGCAATAATCAGCTATATTCGATTCGGCTTCTATATGAACCTATCAAAATGATTTGTTCTATTAAAATTAGTCTATCTTTGACATGTTTTGAAGGCATAACATATTAACAGACATCATTTCAAATGATAATATGGTAATATATGTATCTCATATATATAAGTCTAAATTGAAAACAACAGTGAATTTGTATAATCAGGGATTATGTAGATCATTAGTGATTATATATAATCCCTGAAAATGACCAATGATTTTATATAGTCACTGAACATTTTAATAATTATTTTACAAATTCCCTAATATGATTTCAGGGATTTTATTATTTAAAGATCCTAAAGATTGATAGAAAAAAATTGAATATAGACAAATTATCATTTG